AAAAAGGCGTGTCCACGTATGTTTCGAAACATATGTAAGATAACGTAACTCAAACGTAAGATGTTGACTTTAAAAACACAAAAATTTATTTGGCGAATATTTCGGCTACTTCTGTCAACGCTTGACATAAAATGAACATATTGAGAAAGTATCTTGGTAATATAAAATTTGAGAAACAATACGGTAATTACGTCAACCGACTTGCTTTGACCACCACGGTACTGCACTGGATTTGAATATATGAAATGATACAAGAAGAAAATAAATCCCATGTTTAAGATTCAATCCCAGTCAATTCGTATATGACAGTACGCAGAAAAAAAAAATCCAATCACTTCAAATCATCAAGAATATACCGACACCCATAATGATCAAGAAAAAAAGTTCATTTATATTGTTATGTTGAGTAAAACACTGTTTACCAAATCAGTGATGGTGCCAGTAGAGCCTGAGTGGCTACATCCCCCTCCCCTCCCCGTCAAGGGGAGCTCCCCAGCCGGGGAGAAAAAAATTGAGGGAAAAAATGAATTTACGTGGTGTGTGTGAGACTCGTTATTATTATTATTATTATTATTATTATTATTATTATTATTATTATTATTATTATTATTATTATTATTATTATTATTATTATTATTATTATTTCCTATTTTTTCTGGGCATCCAGAAATACAAACATTGAAGTGACATTTTATCTAAACAATCAATCAATTCGGTTACATAACCGTCTTTATCTTTGAGGTATTGTTAGAATGGTTACGTTATAAAATGTAGCGTTGATTGATTGATGACTATTATTGACGAAGCTTCAATGCGGCATAGGTCAATGCATCCAAGATGAAAGGCATACAAGCTAATTCAATTCAATTCAACATTTATAAACTTTCAATTTTCTCGCCCCTCCTGGGCCCTGTATCACCCACTAACATAATAATTAACAACTAATGTAATATTAACCACTAACGTAATAAAAAAAAAATCCACTACTAACGTAACATTAACCACTAATTTAATAAAAATCAACCCACTAATCTGACCTTTAACATTTAACATAATAACAACAACAATAACAATAATAATGTTTAATATTAGACATTGCAGCGTTCGTAAAATGTTTGTTACTGGTGCTGGAAACAGTCACAATAGTGGGTGGGCCAATGCCCCCCCCCCTCGCGCTTTCGCCGCCGTTGATTGCGAGGTAGATCTGATGTTTACATTCCAAATCATAAGACAAATTATCTCCAACATTATATTAGGTTTACTGGTCCTAAACTACAGTATGCAATTCATTACCTCCCTCAGTTGGTGATGCCAATAATTAAAAAAATCATTTTCAATCCAGATAAAGAAACACCTTACATTTAGTTATTAAACATAAAGTAAATATTGGTCCTTTTTATCCTCTTGCTTTCCAATATAATTGTGCTCGGTTTCTTGGTCTAACATGAATTGTTTGCTTTCTTTTTTTTTTTTTTTGGTTGTCTTTTTTGACCTGTTTTGTCCATGTCTTTCTTTGTTTTTGTTTTTTGTCCTTTTGTCCTACTGTTTCAGGCTGACCCTCCACAACAATTTTTATCTTACTGGGTCTGTGCCTTTTCGCTTTTTACCGAATTGTTTTGATTTTGTATTTTATAATTGCTTGTATTTAAACTGGAAAAGGAATCAAATAAATGTTACTTTTGAACCCTGCAAGTTATTGTTACTATTCTTATTCTTATTTTCTTTATTGCCAAGACATCACACACACACACACACACATACATACACACACCCACGCACACACACACACACACACACACACACACACACACACACACACACAAAACATCTAAGTGAGTAAGTTGGCAGGAACACAAAAGCGAACCAAACGCCGTAACAAAAAGTCAGTGTTCCGACTCACACAGTTCCACATTAAAAATAGTTAAAATTGAAGTAGGGTCGATGTTATCATCTTGTTGCAGTTTTTGCAGCCACACGCTTGCCAACTTCAAAACATAAAGAATGGACCTTTCCGCTAAGCCCCGCCCCTTGGATATTGTTGCTAAGGTCCCACAAGACGACAGCAGTGGCGTAGAAAAATATTTTTCATGGGGGGTGGGGATAATTTTCGTATTAGCCAGTGTCGTAACAGGCGCGGGAGGGGGGGGGGGCGGGGGGGAAACTGCCCCTCCCCGGA